ACCATGGGGGTGTATTGCTAAACTTTCTGTAGAGTAGGAACAGTCCACATGTCACGCTGCTGTTTTTATTTCAAAATGTTTGAGGTAGAAGTTTCTGCCAATTCCTTATCTAGGAAACCCTTGCCTTGCCACAGTGCCCAGCTCTCTCTAGCCCTCTTTCCCAATCCCCCAAGATTCTCTCCACAGTCCAGAAAACCGAGAAGCTGGAAAGAGGAAGGGAGAGGGACTGCAGCCTGTGCAGGTGTTGGCAGAAAAGCATTCTTGTCTTTGCTGACATATGGCAGAGATCCAGGTTGGGAGCAGTGAAGCCCAGGCTATTGATTAAACCTTGTTCTGTGTGTGGATTTAATCTCAACATCCAGTGATACAAAAGCTAGAATCTCTGTAAACTCCTCCCCAACCCTTTGCTAAACAGCAAAGACTGAGAGGGTACAAAAGACAAGGACAGATGCCCCCCCCCCAAAGAAAGTGTGTATGCTCGGGAGGGGACGGAGTATGGAAAGGGTGCTGGGGGGTATGGGCAGGAGACCAAGGTCCAGACCCTCTGCTCTCTTTGCTGGGCAATTTGGACTAGTCACTACTTTCTCTGAGCCTCAGTTTCCTTTTCTGTAGCACAAAGAAGTGACTTAGAATCCCTTTCTCTTTCTCAGGTAAAGCAACCCTCTCTGAGGGTGTTTCCTGGTCCAGAAAATCAGGATCTTCATATCCATCCCTCACCAAAGGGAAAATCATTCCAACCTTCTGGTCCCAAGAACCAAGTCCCGCCTGTAAGGCCCCAATTATTTCTCTAGTCTTGTCTCTCTTGTGATGCTCCTGAACTGTACTTCCAGGGCTTTTCTCTTTTTAGTAATTGTCTTGGTTTTTTTTGTTTTTGTTTTTGTTTTGGTGGAACTGGTGTTTGAACCCGGGGCTTCACACTCGCAAAACACACTCTACCACTTAAACCACACCCACAGCCCATTTTACTCTGGTAACTTTGAAGATGGGTCTTGAGAACTATTTGCCCAGGCTGGTCTTGAACCATGATCCTCCCAATCTTGGCCTTCCAGGTTGCTGAGATTACAGGTGTGAGTCACTGGTGCCCAGCCATTTACTTATTTTTAAAGACTCAACTCAGGTCTCATCTCCTCCAGGAGTCCTTCCCTAGTCCTCCCACCCACCGAGACTTAGATGTTGCTTCTCTGGGCTCCTGGAATATTCCCAGTACGCCATTGTTGCCCTTATCAGCTAGCAATTAAAACTGACATTTATTGAGCACTTACTCTATGCCTGGCCCTCTATCAGGCCTTTTCCCAGCATCATCCATATGAACTCTAGTCATACCCATGAGAGGGCTGCTGTCTTTGCACTATTTTCCTGATTAGGACTCTGGGCCTGAAGGAAGGGGAAGGGATAGATGTTGGGGCTAGGGTGCTAATGCAGGGCAGCCCAGCCTCCAAACCTCTCCTTAGCTCCACTTTATACACTGCCTTCTTCCCACCCTGAACATAAGGCATGGTGGTTTTCTGTTTAAGAATATGTATTGGAGCCAGTGGCTCATGCCTGTAATCCTAGCTACTCAGGAGGCAGAGATCAGGAGGATTTCAGTTTGAAGCCAGCCCGGGCAGCTTGAGCTGGTGGAGTGGCTCAAGGTGTAGGCCCTGAGTTCAAGTCCCAGTACCACAAGGGAAAAAAAAAAAAAAGAACATGTATTGGACCTTCCCCTGAACTATGAACCGCAGGAGTGCAAGGCCTCCCTTGTGTTCCATGTCTGTCACCATCCTAGGAAGGGCTGAATACAAATCTCATATTTTGGTCTGTGCATTTAAGGTTTTCATCCTTGCCCTTGGGAGTCCAGAAAAAGTCTGGATATACCAGGACTTCTCCCTTGACCTAGACAGTCCCCTCCTACCTGATTCTGTATGCATAGCCACCTCAGTTAAATCCAGATAAGGACCTCTTCCTAGAGGTCATGGTCACATGTGCCAATGTGCCAAGCCCTGGGCCAGCCTTCCTCAGTCTTTAGTTTACTGAATCCTCACAGACATAAACAAGAAAGATAAGAATATGATTTCTATTTTACAGATAAGGGAAACTGAGGCTCAGCTGACATCATAGAGCAAGTGAGTGGAGCCAGAAATGTCGTCTGTCCCTACTGCCTCCCTTCTGTTGTGGACAGGCCATACAAGTGAAAATCTCCAGAGGATGAGGACTGTGATTCATCTTTGCTTGGCTCATGAGCCATTGGCCACACCCAGGGCTAGTGGAGCCATTGTGAAAGGTTGGGCTGGTGGCCCAGCTTCCCAGTAGCTGTTTATTGGCAGAGGTCATCAGGGCAGGGATTGTCACTCCACTTTATAGATGAGGAAGTTGCAATTAGAGAATAGAAAAGTTGCCCAAGGCTATCCTTTGGCAGAGGAAGGGCAAAGACTTGAACTCAGAGTTCCGTACATAGGGGACTCTGGACCAACTAAGAGGAAGGAGGCCGCTGAAGGGTTTGGGCACTGGACAGCGCTTTCCCACTGTGTTTCCTGGGTTGGCAGTTTTATGGGTCCTGTAAATCCCTGAGACATGTCAACACCCATCTCGGCTCTAATGTCCCTAAATCAGGCCTTGCCCCCTTCTGGGAAGCAGGCCCCAGGTGGTCTAGACAATGTGACAGGTGACTGGTTTATGGCAGGCCAGGACTGGAGTTGGGGCTGAGAGATAAGGCTGGGGAAACACTAAAATAGGAGTGGGAATGCCTCTGCCTGTGAATCCCTGCACTCAGTGATGACAGAGGTCAATCCCTGACCATCCCCAGCACCTGTTTGGTGCCATAACGAGAACGAGAACGCATTGTGAGGAGTGAGGAACGCACATCCCTTAACCCTGGCCCCAAAACAGATCCCAGGGCCTCCCAGACTCCTCCCCTCTATGGGCCCCAGTGCAATGGACTTTGAAGTGGGTCCAAAAGTTGCTAATCAATAGCCCCCTGACTCTACTAAGTCTCTCCTCCACTGGTCCAGGGCCTGGTCTGGGTCACAGAGACAGCCTGTAGTAGTATTAATTCCCAGAGGTAGGCTCCCTCCCTGCCCCAGTCCTTTTTTTTTTTTTTTTCTGGTGCTGGGGTTTGTACTCAGGGCCTAACACCTTTGAGCCACAACACCAGCCTTTTTTCTGTGATTAGTTTTTTCAAGATAGGATCTCACAGAATTATTTGCCTGGCTGGCTTTGAACCGATATCATCCTGATTTCTGCCTCCCAAGTAGCTGGGATTACAGGCGTGAGCCACTGGCAGTCCAGTGAAAAGACATTTTTTTTCAGTCATGCAAACACAAATCCACTCCTCCAAAAAGTCTCCCTAGATAAGAGAGTGGAATTCTTCCTCTTACTGACATGATGATAAATTCTAAAACAGTGTAGACAATAGGGCTCTAAGCCTGATGAGGATATCCCTCCCCCCACCTGCATCTCTGCAGGATCAAAGCTGCTCCATAAAGGTTGTGTGATCCTGGGCCAAAGGGGGGAGTCAGCCAGGAATGTAAGCAAGGAAGAAGCCCCTTTGCCTGGATTGTGCTGGGGGAATCAATCCCCCTTCAGAGGTCCTTATTCCAGTTCAAAGCCCAGTAGGGGCTGAGAGATTGGCAAGGATGGGGAAGTAAATGGATGGACCAGAAAAATGGGGTTTCCTGTTGATTGAGGGGGTCAAGGTCTACTCCCTATTCCTCTCCCCCATCCCATTCTGAAGTTCTATGGAAACCACTACTCCATGTGGGATACAGGGGGACCACAGCCTAGAGAGGAGGCAAGAGACACCTGCCTGGGGGTGAAGCCATCTGTTTCCCCAAATCCTGGGCCTCCTCTAGGAAACATTTCCTCCTGAATGCTTCTGGAGATCCTGGCAGATGGGAAAACTTGGGAGTCCATTCAGACCCTGGTCTTTTCCCATCTCATCTACTGGGTCTGGGGGACCTCAGCCAGTCCCTCCCTTTGTTGCCATCGGCTGGCTTTCCTCTCACTGAGAACTTTTGCAAACCATTTCTCAATTCTGCCACCTCTCCCTCCTCTCCTCTCACCTGTACCTCCCTGACCCCTAGCCCTCCCACCTCCTCCCCATCCGGTCATCACATAAACACCAGCAATAGCTGTGGTTTAGGGACAGCTTTGCTCTGTGTTGGAAGAAGGGTCTTTGGATTGCTTAGAAATTTTGGGCTGGGGATGTAGCTCTGTGATAGAGCTCTTTCCCAGCATTCACGAGGTCCCGGATTCGATCTCCATACCGCCGAAACAGAAAGGGGAAAAAGAAAAAGAAATTGGAGTAGTCTGGGAGGAAAGAGATGAGACCCAGAACATCTAAAACTTCTGCCTGAGAAAAAAAAGAACTCCCCCACCCTCTTCGGGGCCACCAGTTCTACAGCATTCACCGCCTTCAAAATTCTCCTCTCTCATCTTTTCGAAGCTTTTTTTTTTTTTTTTTTTTTGGCGGTACTGGGGTTTGAACACAGAGCCTCATGCTTGCTATGCAGGCGATCTGCCACCTGAGCCACTCCTCCAATCCTGTTTTTTGTTGGAAATTTTCGAAATATTCCTCCTGATTTCTGCCTCCTGAGGATTACAGACGTAAGTCCCCGGCGCCTGACCGGAGGCTATTTCTCACCCCATCCCCAAACCCTAGGCCACTGCTTGGAGCCAAAATGATGAAAGTCAGGCATCTCGAGTAGTCACCCCTGTTGGTCAAGTACCTTTGGATGTTGCTTTCCAGTTCTCTGACCAGGGACAAGGATGGGCAGAGTGTGGAGAGGGCGCCGCTTTCTGCGCGGACAGAATGCGGAGTGAGGGGTCCTGGTGCACCCGACAAAAGCTGGCTGGGCGGGAGGGCAGGCGGGAGATCAGGGGAGAGCGGATCATTTCAGACCGGAGCCTGGACAAGGCGAGGGGAGGGGAGGCTCCGCCAGGGGGAGGAGCCGCCTCCCGCGTCCTGCTGTCGGGGCTCCCTCCCGTTGCAGCTCTGCTATAAAACCCCGGGCAGGCATGATCGCGACACCCCCAGCGCGTCCCCCGACTTGGCCGCGTCTTTGCCCTCGCGCACCATGCAGCTGCTTCTTGCTCTCCTGGCCCTGGCCGCGGCAGGGACCTTGGCTTACGCAGGTGACCTCGCCTCAGGTACCCCTCGCGGGGGACCCCTTCTGCGGCCCCAGCCCAGCGCTCCTGGGGACGCCGCGGCGCGTCGCTGCGGGGTGGCGGGCGGCTCCGGGTAGCGGTGCGCAGGCGGGTGGAGCAGTGTACACGCGTGGCCCAGCGTCCCAGGGCGACACCGGTGTGGTGTGTGAGTCTGTCATGAGGATGCTTGTCTAACCCGCCTCGGAGCACGCCTCCTTTTCTCGCCCTGGTCCTTCTCTGGCTGCCCGTGGGTGACCTTCTGTTCTGTAGCGGCTCAGGAATAGGTGACTAACACCCAACCCAGAACAAGGGCAGCAAGTTGGGTGGATGTGGGTCTTGGCATTCTCCTCTCCCCTCCTGGGTTCCTTCGCACAGGTGACAGGTTCCTCTCTCCTCCCCAGTTCCCAAGTGCTGTATTGGGAGTCTGGCGGGGGGCACCAGGAGATCCGAGGCCCTGGCCAAGCCGGTCTTTCCGGCCAGGGTGATTTTCGTTTAAAGATTAATGGTGAGGCCGAGCTCTTAATTATTCCGCTAGGTGGGAGGTGGCAGGAGAGGCGTGTTAATATTTGATAAGGAGTTGAAGGCTCCCAGCGGCTGGCACCTTCTCCATTACCCCACAGCCCTTCACTGGAAGACCTCTTCTACTGCTGTAGTCCCTAGGGAAGCTATCCATCCAATGATTCTTGGTCTTCGCTCCTACCAAACTTCCCTTCCCTACATTAGGTGGTCCGCCCCTGGATAGGGGTGAGGGTTCCCTCCCCAGTAAAGAGGAAAGAGAGAGTGCCGGCCTTAGTTTGCCGCCTGGGGTGGGGGGGCGGTCTGGAGGAGGAGGGTGAGAGCGGCATCTTGCAGCAAGCACAAGGGAGTAGGAAAGAACAAAGAATATTGGTTTTTTTTGGTTTTTAAAAAATTATTTGTAGGATTGGGTATTTGAAACCTACTAAACATCTGGGTTTTAGTAGAAAGCAAAATGTTTTGCAATTGACCTGTGCCTTGTAGCTGGATGGCCTTGGATAAGTCACTTAATCTGTCCTCTCATTTACAAAGCAGGGACAGTAATCCTTTAACAACACTCGAATCCCTTAAAAATTCGAGTAAATAACGGGTGTTAAGTACTTAGGCACCGGTAGGTGTAGTGCATGACGGTTGGTTATGAGGCTGTACCATGGCCTGGGGCCAGATGGGCAGGGATCAATCTCAGCTGGCCCCCTACCCCCTACACACGCACCAACTGCTCCCCTTTTTAGTGCCAGGGATTTCCCCCACCCATTCATCCCAAGGTACTTAAGGCTGGAGAGTGTGAGGTTGCATGTGCTCCGTTGACAGGAGAGGCTATTCCACGCCTTGAGAGCACCAGACCCCTGGCCAGGAGGTACAAGACTTTGCCCAGGACACACTTGAGTTTTGCTGAGCTGTTTTCAGGATTCCCCCCCACACACACACACACACCCCTCCCACTTTCCTCAGAGTGAGGGGGTGAGGTGAGCAAGGTTCATTAGTGAGGGCTTCTTTGGTCATCTCTTCTAAGGGTGGGGGATAGTGGTTGCGTGACTTGCAATGTTTTTTAGGTCTCTAACCCCATCTCTAACAAGGCAGGACCCAGACCTGGGAGCCAAGACTTCCCTTTCTCAGGCCTTCTTGGAAGTGACCTGAGACAGTGGGCTAGTAATTGTTTGCAAGGGTAGCTGAATGGGTACGGGAGTACAGGAGCCTGAACTGACTGTGTCCTTACCACCTCCTGACTGAGAGCCAGCACCCCACTCTTACTCCATGACACAGACCCAAGCCCTTGCCTTGGCCTCATCACCATTGTATTTTCCTGGCTTCTGCCTACTGAAGAGGGTAGTTACAAGAGTGTTCAGCCAAGCAGGTCGAAAGTCTCTATGATTAAGACAGTGGATCAGAGGTCACCACTCCAACCCAGAAGCTGTAGCCAGAACCAGGGAAAAGCAGATTCCTAAGAGAAACCCAGCCTAGACCAGATGGGCCTCCAGGGAGATTGTGTGGGGCTCCACCCTTCAGAGCTGACTTCAGAGGATTCTGGGTTAAGCAGGGTTTCTCCAGAGTAGGAATAGCTTTCCCTTGGGTCTGCAGTGCAGAGGAAGGGCCTGACTCTCCCACGGAGGCCCCCTTCTGCTTCCAGAACTTCTGAGGGCTGGGGACAACACAGAGGAATCATAAGGATGAGGCTCTCAGTCCTTTTTTTTTTTTTTTAATTTTTATTTTATTCATATGTGCACCTCTCAGTCATTTATCTCAGCAGACAGAAGCTCTGGGAGTTTGAAGGTAGCTCCTTCTGTCCCAGGAAGGCTCCCAGGGCTCAGAAAAGTGAGCTACCTCACTGCAGAGATTAAGCAAGAGGCCAAGCAGGCCTAGAAGGCAGGGAACAGATTCCAGCCTCGAAAGAACTTTTCTGGCTTGCGAGAGGAGCCGCACCCTTTGCAGAGTTGGCCCACATGTTCTCCCGAATTGCATCCGCAGCTTTCAGGGGATGGACAGCCTGGGGAATACCTGCATCTCCAAAAACGCCAGACCTGCAGGGCAGCAGGCATGCTGGTACAGAGCTGGGAAATGTGAAAGTCCAAAGTAGCTCTTGGAGGCCAAGAAAGGAGGTCACTTTCCTGTAGATGCTCACTGTCCTGACCTAGAACCTTCCCCCAAGGCACTACCAAGAGGCTGACCTTCTGTGGATCCCTCCCCATCCTGTCGCCATTCCAGGGATTGCTCCTCTGCCCAGACCCAAGAGGAGATGGGGCTGGGGAGCAGTCCAGGAAGAAGAGAGTAAGCAACTGGGCCTGATGGCATAGACCTATAATCTAAGCACTCAGGAGACAGAGACAGGAGGATCCATAGTTTAAGGCCAGCCTAGGCTATTCAACAGGACCCTATCTCAAAAAATCAAGGGCTAGGGCTGTAGCCAAGTGGTAGAACACTTGCCTGGCATATCCAAGGCCCTGGCTTTGGTCTCTAGTACCACATTAGAAAAAAAAAAAAAAAAAGGAGGTAGTTGATGAGCTGGGTACAGTTCTTTTCTTAGGAATTTCCTCATCCCTGAATTCTTTCCAACTCACTCCATGTCTTTCCTTTCCTGCCCCTCCTTGGCTTTAGCCATCTGCTGAGAGGAGGACACCAGAGGGAAGGAGGCAGGGGGAAGGGATTTTGCTAAATGCTAGGCTGCTTGGAATACTCTATACCATTTCACTTAATCCTCCCCACACGCCCATGGATGGGTGTGCTAGTCCCATTTTACAGATGATAAAGTTGAGGCCTGGAGAGATTAAAGGGACTTGCCCCTAAACCCACAGTTTCTAAGTGGCTCAGCCAGAATTCTAGCTCTGGATGAAGAGCTTTGTTCACACTGTTGGCTCAAGCTTCACCTCCTCCCCCAACTAATAGACTTTATTTTTCTAGCCATTTATGTTTATAGAAAAGATGGAGCAGAAAGTAGAGTGCCCACACACTCCTGGCTCCTGCATTTTCTAAGTTGTTAACAGCCTGCGTTGGTGTGTGTTATACTCATGATGCTGTCTTATATTAGAGATGCTGGTTCCACTGTCCTGTGAAGGTTTAGACAAGAATGGATTTAATAATGCTGCGGGGGGGGGGGGGGGGGGGGGGGGGGGGGGAGGTGCATTCCTGCAGATGGGGGGAAGCAGCCTAATCTCTTCCACTGTCTGTCAGCCCAGGAAGACACCTGGCTGACCTGCTCTATTGTCCCAGGAGGGGAGGAAGCCCTAATCCTCCTCCTCCCTCCATCAGAATCTCCTCAAAGATTTGGGGTGGGGGATGCCCAAGTGAGGAAGGGGGAGCCTCCTGCCAGGAGGAAGAGGGGGTGGAGCAGGAGGAGGAAGAATGGAGTGAGCTGTTCAGGCTCAGAGGGATGAACCCCTAAAGAAGAGTGACTTAGGCAAGATGACCAGATGAGTAGTTGGTGGGGGAGGGGAGTGTTAGAGACTTTTCTTTTCTAGTACTGGGAATTGAACCCAGGCATTTGCATTGCTGGGCAAGTACTCCACCCATGAACTTCCATCCCTTCCTATGCTTTTTTTTTTTTTTTGAGACAGGGTCTCACCCCAGACTCACACTTGCCATCTTCCTGCCTCCTCCTCCCAGAGTAGTGGGAATGCAGGCAGGCACCACCATGCCTCTCTCTTTCCCCTGGCTCCTCAGTTCCACACCCCAGGAATACTCCATTTCAACCCAAGGGAGGACTCTAATACCAGGGATATTCCCAGCCTCCGATCCACCATGCATACATACAGAGTTGTGTGCAACTCATAGATACTCACACATACACAAGGCTCACATTTTTCCTCTTTCTGCCCCAGAGTCACACTGGTGCTATGAGATTCAAACCAAGGAATCTAACTACAGCTGCCTGGGTGAGTACAACCAGTCTTGGGGACAGGCCAAGGTGGGGACTCTTCAGGTAGAACTGGAGACCCAAGAAGGGTGGGGAGGATGAGGGGTAACAGTGGCCCAGTCAGTTATCTGTTCATCCCACATACTCATACACACATTCCAGGTGCTCAGAGAACAGGGGACATAGTGACCTGTTCATCAGTCATTTCATTAGACCAGTCAGGTGGGGGAAGGGGAACTGGCACTTTCTGTCACTGAGAGGTTAAGCTCCCTGGAAAATAAATCAGCAGCAGCATTAAAGAAACACATACATTTTACTATTTCTCTCACAATGGAAGCTGGTTCTAGTCCAGTGGCACCTTTCCAGGTGGACCTGAGAGATAGAGAGATGGTTCTTGACCTTCTTTTTTTTTTTTTTGGTGGCCTCACACACGCTAGGCAAACACTCTACCACTGGGCTATATCCCTAGCCCTTTTTGACACCTTTTATTCAATTGCTGATCTATTTCCCTGCTAGTCACTTTATTCCTGCCCTGCTGTGTTGAGGGACTGCCCAGCTGGGTGTTGGCGTTGGAGTTGCCATGGTACTGGGAACAGGCTCCTCCCAGTGTTGTTCCTCCTTCCCACTTCTCAGATAATGCTGTGCCACATGGAGTTTCTATCATAAGCAGTCCTTTGAGGGGGTCCCACTCCCCAGCTTCCACTAGCTCCTTTAGACTTCCAAACAAGGGCTGGCGGTGTGAGGCTGGCAGAGTGGCTCAAATGGTAGAGTGCTTCCTAGCAAGCACAAAGCCCAGAGTTCAATACCCAGTACTGTCAAATGAAATAAATAAACTTCCAAATGTCTCTGTGAAGTGTTTTATCATTGTAGTTCCCATTTAACAGTCGAGAATGCAGGAGCACTGAGAAGGATGTGCCTGGCTACATGAAGTCCCTAGCCCAGAGCTCACAGCCACCCATTGTCAGTCCCGTTTCCACCCTGGGCTACACCACAGCCAGACTCCCTGGCTTTGCCTGTGTGTCGGTGGAGGAAGAAAAGGAAAGCCAGGGAGGGGGAGGGCGGAGTTTTGAGACAAACATCCCTCCAGCATCCCAAGCCTTGTCTCTTGGGAGTTGACTGCTTAGACCTCCACCAGTAGGTAGGAGGTGCCCCTGACTCTCAGCCTCTCCTTCCCTGCTCAGGGCCAGACCAGTGGCCTGGGAACTGCCAGAAGAGCCGCCAGTCACCCATCAACATAGTCACCTCCAAGGCCAAGCTCAACCGCAGCCTGGACCATTTCTCCTTCTCTGGCTATGACAAAAAGCAAAAATGGACTGCCAAAAACAATGGACACTCGGGTAAGTCTCAGGTGGGAGGATGGAGAACCTGAGCAGGAATGGACTCCTGGTAACTCAGGGACCCTAACCCCTTCTGAGGACTGGAAAGGGTCCCTTTGCTGAGGAAGAACTGAAAACCCTGTGAAGGTGGGAAGGGGCAATCAGAGAGGGCTTCTGGACAGAGGGACACTCTGGCTGTGTTTTCAGTCATTTCATTTCGGGAAGGAGGGATGATTGCGAAGGCGTGGACATGAAGCAGCTTGGGGAGTTCCAGGAACCGGGAGCGGGAGTAGCCCTGTGCATATCGAGGACAGAGGGAAGCAGGAAGGGGATGAGCAAGGTCTGAGTAGGTCATCCAGGGCTGAAAAGGTTGGACATTACCCTGGGGACTAGATGGGTGTGACCAGGGCAGAGGCCCCTGGCAGAGTTGCATTTTTGGGACTGGGGGATAAAAGGAGGGGACAGGGAGGCTAGTGAGATGGCCTGGGAATTGTCCTACTGCAGCGTCCTCCTCCATCCCTCCCAGTCCAGGACCGGGGGCCATGAAGGGCAGAGGTAGGAGGAGAGGTCCTGTCACGGGGGAGCTAGGACAGGGGCTGGGCAGGCCAAGGAGAGACTGGTACGAGGACTCTGCCCCTCCTGTGTCCCTTAGTGATGGTGTCGCTGGGGAACGAGGTCAGTATTGCTGGAGGAGGCCTGGCCGCGAAGTACCGGGCCACACAGTTGCACCTGCACTGGTCCCAGGAGCTGGACAGGGGCTCGGAGCACAGCCTGGACGGGGAACACTTTGCCATGGAGGTGTGGGGCCTTTTCCCAACCCGTGCTCTGCTTTTTGTGTGTAGCCACCTTAGGTGAGAAGGGTGGCCCAGTTCCCTCACAGGTCTTCTCTCCATCCCTCCCCCCACCAGATGCACATAGTACATGAGAAAGAGACAGGGACCTCTAACAAGGAAGAGGAGCAGAACTCTGAAGACAAGATTGCAGTGCTGGCTTTCCTGGTGGAGGTAGGACTCCATTTCTCACTTCCTGGGCAACCAGGTGTGAAAAGCGGCTTCTCCTTAGGGTCCAGGGGCCTGGGGCAACCTCCCTTCTGTGCCCAGAGCCAGTGAGGAGCCCACAGCTCTCATCCTAGAAGATATGTCCCCTCAGCTCGAAATGAGCTGTTGGTCAACACTGGCTTCCCCAGGATCCCTCTCAAGCCCCCTTCCCTCCATTCCAGAGGGGAGACAAGATGAACAAGGGCTTCCAGCCCCTGGTGGAGGCACTGTCCAGTATCCCCAAACCTGGTAAGTCTGGATGGGGGAGGAGAGGGCTTCTTCCCACAAATGAAGGGGTGAGGGGGGTGGGGCAGCTGCTCTCAGAGGGAGGTGTGTGAGGGTTCTGCTCTGGCCGCAGACATGAGCACTGTGATGGAGAGCAGCAGCCTGCTGGATCTGCTCCCCGAGGAGGAGAAACTAAAGGACTACTTCCGCTACCTGGGCTCGCTCACCACACCAACCTGTGATGAGACGGTCATCTGGACTTTGTTCAAGGAGCCCATCCAGCTCCACAGAGACCAGGTACACAGGGCCTGGGCCAAGGAACCTGGCTCCCTTGCCTGTTTGTCCCCTGAGGTCCCTAGGGTGAGGGACCCCAGGGACTAAAATTCATTGGTTTAATCCTCAGACTTTTACTGTGGAGACAGGACAAACAGATCCGGTTTTTTCCTGCCTGGATTGAGGGCTGGGCAGGAGGTTGTGGACGGTGTAGTCTCAAAAGGCTTCCAGAAAAGTAGGTGGGATTTGACCAGGTTAGGACAGGGAGCCAGTATCCTAGGGAGAAGTGTCAACTTACGGGAGGTCCTGGGACTGGCCAGTGGCTTACTGGCTGTAGGAAGTACTTCATTCATTCAACAAATGGTATTCCAGTCTACAAGACACTAGCTTCTGAGGAGACAGCAATAAGCCAAAAGGCACAAATCCCTGTCCTTGTATTTTCATTTCATAGCTGTGATTCTCAAAGTGTGGTCCCTGGACCAGTGGCTGGGTGTTGTCACCAGTGGGAATGTACCGGAGATGCTAATTCTCAGCCCTCACCCCAGACCTTCTGAATCAGAAAGTCTGAGGGGCCCAGGTGTCTGGAGCCCAAAAGTCCCCGGCTGATGCTAACCATACTCAAGTTACTGTAGTAACAGTCCTGACAGTACCAGTCAGAGTAACTTGCAGCCCCTCAAAACTCTGAGTTAAGGAAGGCTTGTGGGACCTTAACCCCCACAGTGCTGTGTACTTTACATTCCCTGTTCTTGTCTTGGTAACAACCTTGAGAGGTAGTGATTCTCAACCTCTCACTCCCGATGTGTCTCAGAGAGATGTACCTGGCCTGAGGTCACACAGCAGAGAGTGTGGTTTCACCTGCTCCAACCTGCTGAGCCCTGTCCCTTCCACAGATCCTGGCATTCTCCCAGAAGCTGTTCTATGACGAGGAGCAGAAACTGAATATGACGGACAATGTCAGACCCCTGCAGCGTCTGGGAAACCGCGAGGTGTTCAGATCCCGGGCCCCAGGACAGCTGCTGCCCTTGCCCTTGCCTACCCTGTGGGTGTCCATGCTCACCTGCCTGAAGGTTGGCTTCCTCCTATGAGGGCTTACTGCCGGACACGTGACCTTTGACCTCAGCCTTTAGAGGACTTGACTTCCATTCCTTATTTGCTTCCCAGTTTGGACTTTGGAGATGATTAAAATATGGATATATTTTTGAAGAAGCCATTTTACAAGTCTATTTGTAGCACCCACAACTACCTGCTTCCCTCATCCCTCTCCTGTTCCAAGGCAGAGGCCTTAAGGACTGGAGATTTCTTGCAAACAGGTACCACCAGGTGCTACCACCCTCTGCCTTTGTGAGTTCTCTGTTTACATTCCACCATCTGCTACCCTGACCTCAGAGAGGTGCCAAAGGCCACGTTGGACCCAGTATCTTCATTATCCAGTGGGCCCAGGATGGAGATACTGGTTGGAAGCCACCTTGGGGTGGGTGCCTTCTCTGGCCCAGGTGGAGAGTGTGTTTGTGTGGGGTGCAGCCTAGACTGGGCAGGGAACAGGTTGCTCATTTGTTTCTCAAATATCTTTTTTCTTGAGGGTACTGGGGTACCACTTGAGCCTCAGCCCCAGCCCTCCAGTGTCCCTTGAGCTTCTGTGTTTTCAGCACTGGAGCTCCATCTGTGAAGAGGTGGAGGTAAATGAGACACAGTGCCTGAGACATCAGATGGCACTGAGTGCTGTGGGGGACAGACCCAAGAAGGGCAGTTGCAGTTTACATGGGTGGCCAGGGAAGGAGGCCATCTGGAGACTTCAGTGTTGGTCTGGGGTGGGGGGTGGGGGGTAGGAGGGTGGAGAGCAGGGAGAGAAGAGGGGGTGTGAAGAGCTGCCAGGAAACAACAGGGAGAACAATGAGGGAGGAAGCAGAGCAGCAGAACTAAGTGATGGTGGGGGAGGGTGGGGCAGATCATCTACAGGTGCTGTAGGGCCCGTGAAGATTCTGGAGCCCCCAGAGATTTGCACTCAAGGACATGATGTGGCTGTGCTGTGGAGCAGGGGCTGCAGAAGTGAAGGCAGAGCAGGGGGATGGTTCCCAGGCTGCTGCTGGAGTTCAGAGGCAGAATTTGCCCACTGATGGGTCAGCAATGGATGTGAGAGGAATTGTGAGGGAAGGGCTCCATCCCCCATGTGTCTCTAGTGGGTTTTTCTCTCCTGGGGTCCAAGGAAGGAGAGGAGGACCCAGCCTAGTGGAAGGAGGTGGGGCAGGGAGGGTCCAGAAAAACGGGGAAGGAAAGAAGGGACCCACAGGCAACCCCCAAGATATGTTAGGCCCAGCACCATCGGACATGAGCGGCTCAAAGCTCTCAGAGGCCACCATTCAGGGCAGGACTGAATTTCAGAGTAGCTTGAGCTTGAGCATCAGGGAAGGGGTGGAAAACAGTCCAGGAACCAGGAGCCAGGCCAGGGCCCGCAGCTGCAGCTGGGGTTGAGGACCGTCACCAGTGTGTGTCACCACAGGAAGGTGGGGGCTACATAAGGTGCGGGGGGCAAGTGAGTCTTAAAAGGCCTCACTGCTGGTGGCCTAGGGAAGGGAGGTAGTTGTAGGGCATGACTTCTAAGCCTTCTCCCACTATGGCACCACCAGCCCCTGGCCACCTCCCAGCGAAGCCTGGGGAGAAGGAAAGGACTGTTCCCTATTCCCTCTCTTTACCACCCTCCCCCTCTTACCATTTGTGACCAAGAATAAGTGCTCCCTCCCCGCTTCACCAGTGACCACGAGGTTGGCATTGCTGTTGCCTTGACAACAGCAGGCAGCCCATGTCAGCAGGGGAGCCAGTTTTCCTTTGGTTCCCATGAATCATCTCTCTCTCTCTGACTCACTCTCTCTCTCTCTCTCTCTCTCTCTCTCTCCTGCCCGAAGGGACCAAAGCTGCCTCCTCCCCAGGCTCAGGACTCTAAGGTCGGGGCTGCCTCTCCTGCTCCCCATTGACCCCACACACACACACCTTGGTCCCTGCCTTCAAAGTGCCTTCATGGATGACTTAAAGCTGAACCAGGAAGTCACAGCTTTTTGCAAGACACTAGGGGAGCCTTGGAGGGCTTCTCTCATGACCCTCCCTTGCCCAACTGGCCAGATGAAGTCAGAATGAGCACAGCTTGTCCAAGGCCCAGGGCTCAGGCCTCCTCCCCATGTCCCCCTTCCCTCCCTGTGGCCTGAAGGCTGGGCAGGTGCTTCCAGTACAGTTGCCCTAACAAAGTCACTGGATCAGTCACCCTGGGAATGGGCAGCTTATTCCTCTGACCTTGGCTCTCTCGCTCTAGACAGGAACTGATAGTGTCCTTTCCTGCAAATGAGTATTCCTCAAGAGCTTCCTCTTAGCCAGGCGCCGGTGGCTTACGCCTTTAATCCTAGCTGCTCAGGAGGACCATAGTTCAAAGTCAGCCTGGGCAAAAATAGTTCATGAGAACCTGTCTTAAAAAAAAACCCATCACAAAAAAGGGCTGGCCGAGTGACTCAAGTGATAGAACGCCTGCCTAGCAAGCACAAGGCCCTGAGTTCAAGCCCCCCCGTACTACATACACAAAGAGCTTCCTCTTTTGAGTAAACCCACTCCCTCTGTGCCACCCTCACCAGACACCACCCTAGAGAAGGTGGCTCTTAGCTTCTTGATCCCCGTTTGCCTGGTTCCTGGGACAATTCTCTCAGTGGTGATAGGGGCAATCAAAGGCCCCTTTGAGCCTACTTTTTGTCACTTTTATTCACCCTTGAGTGACTGCATTGGATTTACATACACTTGTGCACTACAGATGCCAGGCCTGGGGAAGGAACAAGGACTGATAATTTTGGCCACAACCCAACTTCTGTGAGGACCACCAGCCCTTTTCTAGAAGGTTCCCAGCACAGAATATGAGGCACATTTGTTGAATGCCTACTATGTGCTGAGCACAGGACTCACCCCAGTCCTGTTTATGAGGTATTATGGAGAGGGATCAGGGACCCTGGGGTCAGAGCCTAGGGTCACCCTGTACCTCTTTAGCTCCCATGGCCAGCTTTCTCCTTTAGCAGAGTTGTTGGGGAAGACAGATGTCTGTGACAGGACCAGGTACAGTCTGCAGTCCCCTCTCCCACCCTCAAGATCTCCACTGGCTGCTTCCTATCTCCAATGGGCCACCTCTCTGACCCCCTGTTTAGGTTTGCCATCTGGGTGGGAGGGAGTAGGGCTAAAAATACTCTCCATGTGTTTAGATGATTCTTGGAAAATAAACTTCCCCATCTTGGCTCTCGGTTTGCACACTTGCTGGCCCAGCTTCCTGTGGTTCTGATCTAACAGTGGGAGGGAGAGGAGAGGAAGAGGGGTGTGGATGGGTCTGCAAGGAGCCCAGAGGAATGGGGGAGGCAGTGTTCCTGTGTGTGCACATGGACTATATAGGCTGTTGTGTCACAATACTTCAGGGAACGCCTGTACAGAGACCACACTGTGGTGTGCCAGGTGTGAGGCAACCCGCAGGCTCTGAGCGTCAGTGTGCTGGGTGGGAAGAGGTAGGGAAGCCTGTGGCCCTGCTGGCATGGCTCCTAGCTCTTAGCCATGGGTTATTCATCTGCAAAAGAGACTGAGTGTGGTCCTTCCATCGTAACTGACCTCACTATCCCTGTACTCCTGCTGATGACCTTGGGAGGAAGGCCAGGCCTGTCTGTGGGTGGGGCAGTGCTCCTGCACCTCTCATTACACACGTCTCAGTAGCTCTGTTTGTTTATCTGAGTGGGGACAAAGGCATGACCTCCTGTACGGATGAAGGACATGTCCTGGGGCCCAGGCAGGCTCAGGGAGGGGCTTCCTCTGGTGAGAGCTGTAGGACAGACAAGGCGCAAGCTAGTTCCTTCCGCTGAGATTGGAGACCTGGGAGGTTCTTCAGGTTGTTCCAAGTGTCCTGCTGCAGAGTCTGGGAGGACAGGGAGCAGGACACAAGGAAAGGAGATTGAGTAAATTTTGGAACAAGATTTTACTTTCAACAAGATTTAAACCTTTGTCCCGGCATAGTGGTGTAAGCCTGTGATTCCAGCTACTCAGGAGGCAGAGTCAGATGGATGGATGGCCAGTCTGGGCAAAGTTAGGGAGACACTATCTAAAAAACAAACTAAACGCAAAAGGACTTGGGTGTGGCTTAAGTGAGGCCTTAGGATCAATGCCAGTGCCAAAAAAAGAAAAAATAAAATATTTAATCTTTCAACAAATACTATTTCCTTTGTGCTGGAGACTAAGGATTCAGGGAGGAAAGGCCCAGTCTGGGTCCTTCCTGCAAGATTCTGGACAGATACACTGGGCACAGTAATTCCAGGTCTATGAGAAAGAGGCGAAGAGAAGGGTGCAGACTCCTGGAGCACAGACTCCAGAGTCACACAGACCTGGGGTTGATCCCCTTTCACTGCTGACTAGGTGCCTTTGGTGATTTAATTCACCTGAACCTCACTTTTCTCATGGATAACATGGGGGTGGTGATGGCATTTATCGTATGAGGTAAAGATAAAACAAGACATCAGGACAAGAGGACGTAGTATTTCGAAGCAATTGCAATTCTTGTTAGGGCACTGAAGACTAGGCAGGACCTGCAGATGGAGCCACAGGTGGAGGCCGGGCTTCTGTAGTCACAAGGTTCACCTCTGTGGCGAGCACACGCGAAGTGGGTGGTAATCCTCTCCCATCCAGGGCAGAGACCACAAAAGCCCTGTGGGACCCCTACTCTGCTCAGATTCTGAGGGACATCCCCCAGCACTCCGTCCCAACCACACAGAGGTGTGTACTGAAGCAAGCTTTGCCCAGGCTTCACCCAGAACATCAGGGGAGAGATGGGGCCTGGTTGAGACCCAGGGTGTCTCTTCCTTATTGGATGGGAGTCAGAGTTCAGCTGAGACCACATCGCTAGAAGGAAAGTCACCTTCACCCCTCTTGCTTTCTTGCTGTGGGACTTGACGAGGCTGGGACCACTCTCCTCTAAGCCTTCCTATCTCCCTTGCCAATTAGCCACAGGGTCACCAAGTCAGCCCTCTGCCATGTCCAGCTTTCCATTCTGGTGCTGTCCCTAGAGCTGTCACCAGTAAGCCGATCCTGTCCAGATTTGCAGCAGCTTCCTTCTAACACATGGCCTGTGCCTAGCCAGATAAAATACAGGTTGGCAGTTACCTTTGAATTTTAAATTCACAGCCAATAATTATTTTAGTGTATCC